CTTTCACATATCTAATCTAAAGAGGTGTCTATCAGATTAAACACTTGTTATTTCACTCGATGAAATCAAGTTAAATAAAAGTCTACACCCTGTAGAAGAACCAATAAAAACCATGGATAGGGAAATCTAAAGAACCAAGCAAAGTCTTATCCCGTTAGTGAAGGTTCGCTGGATTGCAAACCGGGGACCTGAATTCACTTGGGAAGGAAAAATTAGACCAATTCCATGAGTATCACTTTAGACTTAATTTCGGGACGAAATTCCCTCTAACGGGGGGATAATGTGACACCAGTCAAAATTTTGGTCAAAAATAATTTGATCAATAATCATAATTGGGATGAATGAAGTGGTAGAGTTTGTAACAAGGCTTCTAAAAACAAAAAGAACACTGAAATCCGAGTTATAACGAAGAAGTTATGACCAATCGAAAATCCGCGATAAAACCGGCAAAACACTGTTCAGTGTAAAAAGCGAATTTCAATAAAAGGCTTTTTTAGCCTTAAAAATCTAAATGAAAATTTTAGAATATGTTAAACCGAGAACGTTCATAAAAAGAACGTAAAAATCTGACTTCGTATGAGGAAGTTATGATTTTTCGCAAGTTTTTGGCACGAAAATCAAGAAAATCTTGAAAACGGGCAAATTCGCATAGTTGGCCTCGGACACGTCACCCTTCGCATGCAGCCTCCACGTGTTCGCTTCTCATTGGACCGCAGCCTCGCGTGTCGTCTCCTGATAGGTCCGAAGTCGTCACCCTCTTGCCCCATTGGACCGAAGTCCGGTTCACTTAGAAGACCCCACCTGTCCGAAGCACGTGCCTCGCACCAGGGTCCGAAATCTCCACCGCCTTAGACTTCGCACGTAGCCTCGTTGCTGACTGCTATGTAGCTGCTGACTCATCCGCGCCTTCGCCAGCTGCCACCTTCGGACTGCACCCTCGCACCCCTATATAAAGGGTGCGAGCCTTCTCGGATGGAAGGAGTTTTTCACCCCAAAATTCAACCAAATTCACATTTTTACCCCCTCGACTTTCTCACGACCCCCCAAGGCCCCGGTATCGTGTCTAAAGCCCGAAGCAAGCCCCGGAGCCCCGAAATTCTCGAGAAGTTATCTTCTCTCCTGTCAAAACTCTGCCCGATTTGAGTCGGTTTTTCGTCAAACAAACTCTTTTCGGGGAAACGAAACGCTGCCCGACTCACCGCTTATCAAAGTGAGTTTATACCCCTATAATATACCTTTTTAAATGGTTTTATATGCTTTTAGGGGGGGGGGGGAATACAAGTTTAACACAATAATAAATTGTGTTAATAACTGTATGTGATAATAATCACACATAAAGTTTCCGTATGCCTTTAAGGATTATCAAATACTTCCAAAATAACTTAAAGCCATTTTAAATCTTAAAAGTCATGTAAACTCTGTTAAATTCTTTGAAAAATGTTTTATAAACTATTTCAAATTATATATGCCAAAATCATGTTTATATATGTATAAATATATAAATAAGATTTGAAGGGCTTAGGAATAATGAATTATCTTATTTTCTTTTCCTTGTTTGGATGTGGAATTAAGGTTGTATTATTTGTCCGAAGGTCGTTTCCTTCTTAATTATATATATATTATACATATATGAGTATAAAAGGTTACTCATTTTGGTATCATTACCTTTGTATCAGGCTGAGCAAAGGTGTTCATCCAGGAGAAATCATGCTAATCAGATAGAACATATAAATTATAATAGGTATAATTTATGATCCAGAACTAAATATACAAGTATGATTCACGACTGTATACTTTCCAAGGAAATTACCAAAATTCATTCAACTATACCAAGATATGTATAATACTTTTAATATACGAACAACATATTAAAGAAGTAAAGATACATCATACCGGGTTTGCATTAACATAGGTACTATACAGAGTACTAGAGTTAGCAAACATGAGGTAATGCCGGGTTTGCATTAGCAATGGTACTATACAGAGTACCAGAGTCAGCAAACACGAGGTAATAATACATAATATCGGGTTTGCATTAGCAATGGTACTATACAGAGTACCAGAGTTAGCAAACACAAGGTAATAATACATAATACCGGGTTTGCATTAGCAATGGTACTATACAGAGTACCAAAGTTAGCAAACATGAGGTAATAATACATAATACCGGGTTTGCATTAGCAATGGTACTATACAGAGTGCCAGAGTTAGCAAACACGAGGTAATAATACATCATACCGGGTTTGCATTAACCGAGGGTACGATACAAAGTACCAGAGTTAGCATTCACAGGGTAATAATAATACATCGTAAATCTCGTTGAAACAATAATTTGTGAGACCCTTCACGGTGTACTTATCTAAGTACGACCTTTTAAGTCCTGAACTATTAGCCAGAATCTCTTGTAGGGAGAGCATGAATTTGTGTATAGATCTATATGGGACTGACAATCCCGCACCTCTACTGTTCGCTACAGTTTGGCCGGCAGGCCTAGGGTGTCAAATATCATATTCATTCCGACGCCTGAAGGACATCGCAGCAGGCATTTCCGTCATATTAGTATGGTTGATAGAACTCACATGGATAAAACAACGAGTGAATTAGAAAGTACTATACTTCTCTTATAACAGTAAGAAAAGTTAATTACATCCCGACCAAATATACCTTCAGTAGTTTTTACTTACAGTAAAAGCTAAGTATCATGAAATCAAGTATTGTACTTCTGGTTTTGAACATTTAAAACCACAAGGCAATATTATGGATAATACAATACTCTCCAGGATTAATACTAAGGTTTTTATTATAGAACTGATATAACTAAGGACACTTTTACAAATGAAACGGTTTATGGGATTATAACACTTATCAAATGAAACTTAGTCATTCAATCTTTGTAAACTAGTATAACATAAAAGACCTTTAGTGGTTAATTCTATAATTCCTTAGTTATTACATCAGAGTTGTACATAAGTAATATCCGATTGACAGTGAAATGTGTGACTTCCGCCTTACTTCTTGATCCTTGTTTGGTTGTAGGCTTAGGGCATATACACCCATTTGACTGTCCATTCGATATTGGGTTATATATAATCAGTATAAACTAAGTAATTACAGAGGGAAACTATTGAGGTTATCAGTTAATCACCTCAGGAAATATAGGATTTCCTGGAGAAACCAGTAAACTTATCCAAAGAACTTAGGGTATACTTAACAGAACTAAAATACTTATGAACTCACCAGCTTAATTGGTGATCTACTCTTTCTAAATAACTTGTATTCTCCGGAATCCAGTAGACGGGTACACTCCCGAAGCTTTTGAGAAGACTACCTAGATGTGTTGTGATACTTACCTAAAGTCCTCCGCCCCCGAACGTTTCCGCCGTTCTTGTTTGGGAGTGCGACATAGACTGGGTTCGCATACATATATGTAGCTACTGTGTTGTCACAAAATAACGTTGGAGTTGTATTTATAGGGATACCCAGTTCATGTAACAAGTTCTTTAGCCAAATGCGTTCGGTTGGGGTTTTTTCTAATGTTTTTTATTCAACCTCTATAGAGGAGCATGAAACTGACTTTTGCTTTGTGCATTTCCAGGAGACAATATGTGTGCCAAGGTATAGTAAGTAACTTGTGGTTGATCGACCCGCGTTATGAACACTATCCCAATCCGAGTCTGAGAAGACGGAGAGAGTGAGAGGGTAGTTGCGATTTAGAACCAGACCATGGTGGGTGGTTCCTTTGAGATAGATAAAAACACGTCTGAGTGCTTGCCAATGGGTCTGGCGACGATTATGCATGAATTGAGAGAGTTTATTTATGGCGAACGAAATATCAGGGGCGAGTGAAGGCTAAGTAGTGTAGTGAGCCTAAAAGTTTGTGATAGGGAGTAGCATCAACTATGGGTGACTAGTCAGTAATGGGTAGAGGATTAGTACATTTAGTTTAAATAATCTTCAAGATGGTGATGCGCGTAACAAAAAACAAACTAAACTAAAATCTTGACTATTTTTTAACCTAAAATACTACTATTTTTTTTAAATTTAACTCATAAATAGCTATAAATATATTTCAATGTTGATGATATTGATCAATACATTGTGTGTGTTTTGGTGTATGACATGCTTTCAAATTAAACTAAGCAATTTAAGGAAGCTATTTTCGGCCTATTGGTTGAAAACTTATTGTTGAAATAAAATGAATCGACGCTCACCGCATTGCGCCGAATAATAAGAAAATCTTGAATACTAACTGTTTCTAATTTTTATCAAATGCAAAATTCATTTTACGACATAAAAATAAGAACACGTTTTTTTCATGCAAAATGAAAAATAATTCACAAAAAAAAAATTATGCTATTTATTAAAAAGGAATTTGATGGAAAAAAAGTATACGCTAACAACATAATGACAATAAGTTCATATTATTTTATTAATAAAACAATATAGAACTTATAATAGTAATTTCTTAATAAATCAGATGGTTAGTTAAATGCTATAAATTTCGGTGATGAAACACCACAACAACTTGATCCTTTTATCTCATTGAAATATTATAAGTTAGAACATTCTTATTAATAGGACTTTTTTAGTGCATTACGTTAAGTTGAAAACTATAATGCTAGTAATTGTCCTTGAAAGACTTAATTTCATTTAGAGATTTACATGCCTTATAAAGGCTAATTACACAGTTAGAGAAGAAGCATTCTACAGGAACACATATAGGAATTATTGTAGATCTTTGACTATACAATTGAATAAATTTAAAATATACAACAAGATAAAGATTGCTTCTAAACGTGGAGAATTTATGTTTTGGGCTGCTTTGTTGATCTGATGGGCTCAGTGTCCTTAATAAACCCTTGCAAGATGGAGAATCCATCAGAGACTCCAATCTTGGATCTGTTACATAAAAATGGTGCTCAAGAAATTGGTTTAGTTAACATGTCCACTAGGCGGTCTTGAGTATGAATGTGCAAAACATTGAGGAGACTTGAAGAAATCTACTCCCTAACGAAATGATAATCAAGAGCCACATGCTTCATTCGTGAGTTGTAGACTAAGTTTGCACACTTATATGTAACTCTTTTGTTGTCACAAAATAACGTTCGAGTTGAAGTTATAGGGATACCCGATTCATATAACAAGTTCTTTAGCGATATGAGTTCAACTGGCGTATTTGATATTGCTTTGTGTCCATCCTCTATAGAGGAACGTGAAACCGATTGTTGCCTTGTCGATTTCCACGAGACAATATTTGTGCCAACGTATAGTAGGTAAATTGTAGTTGATCGACCAGCATTGTAAACCCCACCCCAATCTGAGTCTGAGAAGACAGAGACAGTGAGAGAGGAGTAGCAATTTAGAACTAGGCCATGGTGGATGGTTCCTTTCAGATAGCGAAAAACATGTTTGGGTGCTTGCCAGTAAGTTTGGAGATGATTATGCATGAATTCAGAGAGTTTATTTATGGCGAACAAAATATCAGGGCGAGAGAAGGCTAAGAGTTGTAGTGAGCCTACAAGTTTGTGATAGGGAGTAGCATCAACTATGGGTGACTGGTCAGTAGTGATGGGTAGATGATGAGTACATTTAATTTAAATAATCTTCGAGATGGTGATGCACGTAAAAAAACAAATGAAACTAAAATCTTGACTGTATTTTAACTTAAAATACTACTATATTTTTAAACTTAACTCATAAGTAGGTCTAAATATATTACAATGTGGATGATATTGATCAATACATTGTGTGTGATGGGTAGATGATGAGTACATTTAATTTAAATAATCTTCGAGATGGTGATGCACGTAAAAAAAAACAAATGAAACTAAAATCTTGACTGTATTTTAACTTAAAATACTACTATATTTTTAAACTTAACTCATAAGTAGGTCTAAATATATTACAATGTGGATGATATTGATCAATACATTGTGTGTGCTTTGGTGTATGACATGCTTTGAAATGAAACTAAGCAATGTAAGGAATCTATTTTCCGCCTATCGGTTGAAAACTTTTTGTTGAAATGAAATGAAGCGACGCTCATTGCATTGCGCGGAATAATAAGCAAATCATGAATAATAATTGTTTCTAGTTTTTATCAAATGCAAAGTTAATTTCACGACATAAAAAATAAGAACAAGTTTTTTGCATGCAAAATAGAAGATAGTTAAAAAGTGAATTCAGAAAAAAAATATATGCTATTTATTATAAAGGAATTTGATGGAAAAAAGTCTACGCTAACAACATAATCTGACAATAAGTTCATATTATTTTATTAGCAAAACAATATAGAACTTATAATAGAACATTCTTACTAAATCATGTGGTTAGTTAAATGCTATAAATTTTTGTGATAAAACACCACAACAGCTTGATCCTTTTATCTCGTTGACGTATTAGAAGTTAGAACATTATTATTAATTGGATTTTTTTGTGCATTACGTAAAGATGAAAGCTATAACGCTGGTAAATCTGATTGAAAGACTTAATTCCATTCAGAGATTTACATGCCTTATAAAGGCTAATTACACTGTTAGAGAAGAGATTTACATGCCTTATAAAGGTATTTTGGCTAATTACATAGTTAGAGAAGAACGATTCTACATGAACAAATATAGGAATTATTCTAGATCTTTGACTATACAATTGAATACATTTAAAATATACAACAAGATAAAGATTGCTTCTAAACATGGGGAATTTATGTATTGGGCTGCTTTGTAGATCTAATGGGCTCAGTGTCCTTAGTACGCCCCTTCAAGATGGAGAATCAATCAGAGACTCTAATTTTGGATCTGTTATGTAAAAATGGTGCTTGAGAAAGTGGTTCAATTAACATGTCCGTTAGCTGGTCTTGAGAGTGAATGTGCAAAACTTTGAGGAGACCTGAAGAAATCTACTCCCTAACAAAATGATAATCAAGAGCCACATGCTTCATTCGTGTGTCGTAGACTGGGTTCGCACACATATATGTAGCTCCTGTGTTATCACAAAATAAGGTTGGAGTTGTAGTTATAGGGATACCTAGTTCATGTAACAAGTTCTCTAGCAAATTGAGTTCAGTTAGGGTGTTTGCTAACGCTTTATATTCGGTAGAGGAGCGTGAAACTGACTTTTGCCTTGTGGATTTCCAGGAGACAATATTAGTGCCAAGGTGTAGTTGGTAGGTTGTCGTTGATCGACCCGCATTGTGAACACTACCCCAATCTGAGTCTGACAAGATAGAGAGAGTTAGAGGGTAGTTGCGATTTAGAACCGGACCATGATGGATGGGTCCTTTTAGATAGCAAAAAACACGTTTGAGTGCTTGCCAGTGGGTTTGGCAACAATTATGCATGAATTGAGATAGTTTTTATGGTGAACGAAGTATTGGGGGCTAGTGAAGGCTAAGTACAATAATGTGCCTACAAGTTTGTGATAGGGAGTATCATCAACTATGTGTGACTAGTCATTGATGGGTAGAAGATCAATACATTTAATTTAGATAATCTTCAAGATGGTGATGTACGTAACGAAAAACAAACTAAACTAAAATCTTGATTGTTTTTTCACCTAAAATACTACTATTTTTTTAAATTTAACTCATACATCGCTATAAATATATTTTAGTATTGATGATATTAATGAATACGTTGTGTGTCATTCCGTGTATAATATGCTTTGAAATTAATCTAAGCAAATTAAGGAAGCTATTTTCCGCCTATTGGTTGAAAAGTTATTGTTGAAAAGAAATGAATCGACGCTCACCACATTGCGCCGAATAATAAGCAAATCTTGAATAATAACTGTTTCTAATTTTTATTGAATGCAAAGTTCATTTTATAACATAAAAATAAGAACATGTTTTTTTCATGCAAAATGAAAAAAAGTTAAAAAGTGAATTCCAAAAAAAATATATTCTATTTATTATAAAGGAATTTGATGAACAAAAAAATGTCTACGCAATCAACATAATATGACAATAGGTTTATATTATTTTACTAGTTGTGACACCCGTATATTATACGAGTTGATTAAAACAAAATGTTAAATAGAAACGATTACATTGGAAGTTTATTTGAATTTGAAATCTAACATAAGTGAAATTTATGAGAAAAAAACTTACGAAAAATAAATAAATTAAAATTATGTGTTTAGTTGTTAGACACTTATACTAAACATGATAATTATAAAAATATGTTAAATATAATGGTTTAAACTGTAAATTTATCTAAAATTGAAATTGAAATTTGAAATTTAAAATTTAAAATTAATAGTCATTATGGTTGGCTTAATTTATGGAAACTAAATTAATGATATATTGAAAATGAAAAATAAAGTAAATGACAAGTGGAAAAATAAATATATCTTAAATTTTTAACAAAATGACATGTGACCAATTGAATGAGAGATGGACATGTGTCAAAAATCATTCTTATTTATTAGAGTAGATTAATAGAACAGTATAGAACTTATAATAGTAATTTCTTAATAAATCGAGTGGTTAGTTAAATGCTATAAATTTTTGTGATGAAACAACACAACAACTTGATCCTTTTATCTTATTGACATATTAGAAGTTAGAACATTCTAATTAATTGGACTTTTTTTAGAGCATTACGTTAAGGTGAAAACTATAACGCTGGTAATTGTGAGTGAAAGACTTAATTTCATTTATAGATTTACATGAATTATAAAGACTAATTACACGGTTAGAGGATAACGGTTCTACAGGAACACATATAGGAATTATTCTATATCTTTGACTATACAATTGAATACATTTAAAATATACAACAAGATAAAGATTGCTACTAAACTTTGGGAATTTATTTATTGGGCTGCTTTGTTGATCCGATGGGCTCAGTGTCCTTAATAAGCCCCTGCAAGATGGAGGATCCATCGGAGACGCGAATCTTGGATCTGTTTTGTAAGAATGATGCTCGAGAAAGTGGTTTAGTTAACATTTCCGCTAGCTGGTCTAGAGAGTGAATGTGCATAACTTTGAGGAGAAATGAAGAAATCTACTCCCTAACGAAATAATAATGAGGAGCCACATGCTTCATTCCTGAGTGGTAGACTAGGTTCTCACACGTATGTGTAATTCTTGTGTTGTCACAAAATAACGTTGGAGTTGTAGTTATAGCGATACCCAGTTCATATAACAAGTTCTTTAGCCAAATGAGTTCAGCTAGGGTGTTTTCTAATGGTTTGTATCAATCCTCTACAGAGAAACGTGAAACTGACTTTTGCCTTGTCAATTTCAAGGAGACAATATTTGCGCCAAGGTATAGTAGGTTTGTTATAGTTGACCGACCCGCATTGTGAACACCACCCCAATCTGAGTCTGAGAAAACGGAGGCAGTGAGAGAGGAGTTCGATTTAGAACTAGGACATGGTGGATGGTTCCTTTGAGATAGCAAAAAACACGTTTGAGTGCTTGTCGATGGGTTTGGATACGATTATGCATGAATTGAGAGAGTTTATTTATGGCGAACGAGATATCAGGGCGATTGAAGGCTAACTATTATAGTGAGCCTACAACTTTGTGATAAGGAGTAGCATCAACCATGGGTGATTGGTCAGTGATGGGTAGATGATCAGTACATTTAATTTAAATAATCTTCAATATGGCGATGCACGTAACAAAAAACAAACTAAACTAAAATCTTGACTGTTTTTAAACTTAAAATACTACTATATTTTTAAACTTAACTCATTAGTAGGTACAAATATAGTTCAATGTTGATGATATTGATCAATACATTGTGTGTGCTTTGGTGTATGACATGCTTTGAAATGAAACTAAGCAATGTAAGGAAGCTATTTTCCGCCTCTCGGTTGAACACTTCTTTTTGAAATGAAATGAATCGATGCTCACCACATTGCGCCGAATAATAAGCAAATTTTCAATAGTAACTGATTCTAATTTTTATCAAATGCAAAGTTCATTTTACAACATAAAAATAAGAACAAGTTTTTTGCACGCAAAATGAAAAAAAAAACTGAAAAAGTGAATTCAGAAAAGAAAAAATTATGCGATTTATTATGAATGAATTTGACGGAAAAAAAAGTCTACGCTAACAACATAATATGACATAAAGTTTATATTATTTTATTAATAAAACAATATAGAAATTATAATAGAACCTTCTTACTAAATCATGTGGTTAATTAAACGCTATAAATTTTTTTGATGAGACACCACGACATCTTGATCCTTTTATCTCATTGACATATTAGCAGATAGAACATTCTTATTAATTGGATTTTTAAGTGCATTACGTTAAGGTGAAAGCTATAATGTTGGTAATTATGATAGAAAGACTTAATCCATTCAAAGATTTACAAGAGTTATAAAGGCTAATTAGACACTTAGAGAAGAACGATTCTACCGGAACAGATGTAGGAATTCTTCTAGATCTTTGACTAAACAATTGAATACATTTAAAATATACAAGATAAA